TAATTAATGAAATAAAAAAATTATTTTATTACATAATAATTATGGAATTTAAATTAATTTACTAATGTCGAAATTTCTAAAAACTATCATGAAAAGAAATTCTTCTCAATAATAGGGTAATTCAATAATGAGAAATTTAATAATTTCCTCTAAAATGAAATCATAAAAACGCTACAAAATTTTAATAGAAGTAATGAAATTTTATGAGATTCTAGCTAAGTAAAAAGTAAATAAAAAAATTTCTGTATAATAAAATTTTAAGTGGTAAATTTTTGTTTATGAGAAACTTATATTTAATAATAATTTTTATTTTAATTTACCCATTAAAAATGTTAAGTTACCTCTACCATTTACATAATTCATATATAATTTAATTTTAAATTTATCCTGTATTGTATATATTGATAATATATGTGAGATTGTGTAATTTAAACATTTTTGTTGGCAAAGAATGAATAGTCATAATCGTAATTTTTCTCTTGCAGATGGTTTCTATCATAATATGAATTATAAAGTACTTACCTTGAAATCTTACACCATTTCTGCGCACCACAACTCTCCTGAATTCGGCTCCAACAACTTGATCACCATAAACAACTCCTCTGGCATCGGTAAGCGTGCTAGTGACTTGGTGTCCACCACTACTTCTCCATCTACCAGGCAGGGTGGCATTTTGACGATCTCTCACAGCCACCACAGCACTACCATGCATACCGTGTGGCAATCGATTTCTTCGTAGGACCACCTCCTGTCCAGAATCGGGATTTCCTGGCGCAGGTGGTAATTCTATATATCCTAGCCTTCTGAGTTCCGAAACATCTAAAGATCTACTCGATGTCATATTGGGTGTTTGATTTTGCATTATCTTTCTGTCTTCCACCTGTTCGTATTTCTTTTCCTTTCTTTCCACAGGCAAGGTCACTTGTTCTCTAATTTCGGTAAGGGTGAGCTTTCTTCCATTGACCGCTTTCGTTCCTCCTGGAAGACTGGTGCTTCTACGAATGGTGAATCTCTTTATTGAAAAAGGCATTTTCCTGGACTTTTCTGAAAGTAGAAAAAAATAAGAAAAAAACTTTATACATTGTTTTTTCTGTTTGCAATTCGCCATCAATTCGCGATAATTCGAATTCGGTGAAAAGAGAAAGATTTGATTTAAAGAAAAATTTCGGTCTCCTTGACAAAAATCTGATTTATAAAGCGAGTAGTTTCGAATTTCTCTAACTTCAATTTATCTAAAATACTAAAAAATATATATAACAATTTCTATACTGAAATCTGTGCAAATTTAATTGAGAAAAATACTTTAATAAAATAAATCTTTATAATCGCTTAAATTACCTAAAACATTAATTTTAATATATCTTCCCTTGGAAAAAAATTATACCGTAATACAGTTTAATACCACAAAAAACACGAGAAATAACTCAAAGTTTAATTGATGATGAAATATAATCCAAAAATAAATCAGATAATAAACTATTTATCGCATTAAATCTATCTAAATTACTAAAGAAAAAAAAAGTAGCTACACTGATACGCAGTAAATTTATGAGTAGAAGAAAAACCGGATAATAAAAAAAAGAATTCTAATTGTAAAGAAACCGGCAGCTTTTTATTAAAAAAAAGATATAAAAAATATTTAAAACATCATACGAAATACCGAAAAAAAAAATTGTTAATTAACTACAACCTATCACAAGTTACTTCCAATTAGTGTGTAAATTTTTGTCGTCACTCTTTAAATTCAATGAATGTATCTAAATTAACATTCTTTAATTGTAAAATTAATATAAAAGATAAAGTAAAAATAAATTTTATCATTCAAAAAATTAAAAAAGATTTGTTCTTTTTATTTCATGATAAATAGGAATTGTAAAAAATAATTTATTAGATTACTTATCGCATTATAAAATCAATATCACTCACATCTTTATAATTATACAGTCTGTTATCACATCTATCCCTTTACTGAATTATTTATATGAATAAAACATTATAATCATTCATCTTTACATAAAATTTCCTATCAAATATCCAAACACGAAAGCAAATTAAATAAATTGTATTTAGATAATTTACTTTAATTTTAATTAGCTTAATTATATTCAGTTAGTTAAAATAGGTAAACTTAATTAATACGTAAATTATATTTGTTTAAACTCTTATAATGAATGCTATCTACAATATAAACTTCTTATATTTTGTATGCCGTAGAGACAGATCTACGCTCTTGGCTTCATCTGATTTTGTGTTTCCCTGATAAAATGATTAATATGCCTAAACAATATAGAATAAGCAATGCAAACATTAAATAAGCAATAGAAATATAAATTTTTATGGTAAGTCTTTATGAATTGTTAATGCATCTATATAATATAATGAAAACTGATCAGGCCTATATAGTCTACATATGTACTGTACCTGTACTGTACTGTACAGTACGCTGAGAACGATGCAAATTTACAGATATATATATATATATATATATATATCTGTATATTTATCTATATAGATATAT